TTGCTGCGAGGCAACAGTGCTACCAACTGCGCCACCTTGCAGCCCTGCTAATCACCATAGAAGCTAAATCTTAAAGCTCACACAGTGAAGCAACTGTATGATGACAAGCCCTCAAACCCTTTTTTTTCTGTGAGGTTAGAAACAGGGACTTATAATAATGCTATGATTTATCCAGCTATTTTATCTGAGGTGGAAATCAGGTTCACTAACTGGCATTCCTCCAGAGAACATAATTTACAAAGTTACAGTGTTCATTGAAGGAATTTGCTCCTGGTCTGTTCTGAAGCTACTCATCATCATCTATCATGTTGTTCTTTTTTTCAGTTATTCTGGAACAGTTTGTTCGCCACTTGCAGTTAACTTTTATTTTGTCACTTGTTCTTTCGTACCTTCTAAAGATTTTAGGGACCATGTTGTCAGATATTAATTCAAATTTGTTCAGAACTCCTCTTATTTGGTTGGAAAAACAAGCAGTTAATCACAAATTTTCCAGGCTTTATCAGTACTGGTGGCATCAATAAAATTTGTTTTATATCTATATCTATATCTATATCTGTATTCATGCTCTTTGCTCTTGAGTATCTGCAGTATCTGAAATGCAGCTTGCTTACACCCTATGCTTCTGACATGTGTTACTTACATTCCTGTCCACCAACAACCATCATACTGTCACAATCTCACCCACACACACACACGATATGCATGTGTTAAAATGTGCATCCTTTAAACAATCAAAAGCAGAAAACGGGGAATTTCAATCTGGAATTTAGAGTGTGTCCAGGCAGATTAGCAGATCGAATGCAGGAGTGATGTACAAAGGTACGTCCTGTTGTATTATTGCTTAGTAATCTTTAAGTAGATGAGATAAAAGTATTACAAGTTCTCATCTGGAGTCATGTGATACAAAATGGTATGGCACGTACACATTGTTCTTGCACGTCAGCTCACTTGCAAGGTGTTGGTCGAACACTTCAGGTAGTGTTCGTGTGACTCTGAATACCCTTTTGTGGACACACTGTTTTATAATTTTCATGTCATTGGCGATGTGAAAGCAGGTGACTGGGTTATCGTGACTGAGTCTACAGTATGTACCAGCGACAGGGCTTTGAACTTTTCGTCAAAATTTAGTCAATGTGGTTTTTCTCTTTCTTTCTTTCTTTCTTTCTTTCTTTCTTTCTTTCTTTCTTGAATTGGCAATAGTAATCATATATGGTGCTTTCACAATGAGGAATGACGCACTGAAAGTATTTCAGCAAGTCCTCCGTTAGTACTGATAAAACATTTTCGGTAAGTAACTTGGACAAGAAAATGTAAAAACAACCTGTAATCTATAAAACATTTTTAGTGCCAGACTACCCTTAGACACTGATTATAGTCCATTTTTTTTGATTGATCTGTTGACTGGACCTGCAGGAGTTGGGAAATTTTGGCAGGAATGGAGTCAGATATTTTGGCATTTGATTTTCAGGACTCCAGATGGTTTTAAAACTTGAACAGATGTTTGTGTATTTGTTCACAATATACATATCTTATCAATCCTGCTCAAATTGAGAATTTAATATCACAGGTGCAGTTGTGAACACTGAGAACAGTAGGAACAGTTTTTATAATCTTTACAAGTCAGTTGATAATCATAGTGCAGCATTTATGATGTATGGTTGTGTGCTACTGCAATTATACTCAACAGAAGTAGAAGGGCACACACTATCTCCAGTTGTGTGCCTTTTTATTGTCCATACTTGTTCTAAATATACCATAGATTCTTTGTATAATAAATATATACTTTTAAGAACCATATTCTTATTTTTTTTAATCTATCCTCTTTTTAAAAAACAAACACACAAACAAACAAACAAACAAACAAACAAAAAGAGATATTTTTATGATCTGTCTGATTACTCTGTAACATGGATTTTGACGAGTTTTCCATAAATAAAGATATCAAATTACTATATATTATTATTGCCATTACATTGCGGTCAATCCCAAATGAAAATGCATGATGTGAAAGTGATAACATGCCAAGGGAATGTGACAACTGTTTACACACCAAACACAGACAGTCCATAAAGCCACTTCCACTGTTTGAATGAGCAAACACACCCTTTGCCTTATAGACAGTACCAATGTGATTACATGGCAGGTATCGTGTTTCTCATGCAGGCTAGAATTAGGAACTTGAAGACTGTGTTTTCACATACAAAAAATTTGGTTTCTAACTAATTATGATGCATTAAAAGCAGTTCCAGTCATCGACTCTTGTAATCATGGTGTTAAGATGAAAAATGACAGTCATAACTATTTGTGTTTACAGATACATTACTGTCCGTGCTGAGAACACCTTAAGTTGAGCACATTTTTTTATTTAATGCCCCAAATTGTTTCTGTTCGAAGCACAGTGTGTTTTCATTAAGTCCCAAAGCAAGAAATGCAATGGTTTAAACTGGAGAATAAAATATCATGACACAACTTTGATCAATTTAAAATATTTATTTACTTATTAAAAATAAAACTTTTACCGTAGTCATGTCATCTCAGCACATTATGACATTTTCGGCATTAAATTGCTGTTACAAATCTTTCATTATACATAAAATAAAATGTATTATAAAAAAAATAAAGACAATAATTATAACTTTAAATCGAAACAGAATTCAAATCCTGGCTTCATTTTTACCAGTTACAGTATACATGAATTCCGGCATCATCTGTATGCTCTGCGAGTACATACAATACGACACATTTATACACAACTAGAGCTTAAGTAAATAAGCTGATTGACATTTGCTTTCTGTAGGCCTGTTTACATTTTAGGTAGCGCCCACCTGAGTTATAAGTACAGTAATAGACCCGTCAAGCAAAGTTCGCTCTAAAAATACAGTAGAGTGATAAAGTGCTTAGTAAGTTATGTTACAATGGCACCTCGATGTCTCTTTAAGTCCTGGGACAGGAAGTGCTTACAAGATACATCATAAGATAAAACACACAATAAACTCCAGTATTGAAATTGTTTTGCACAGGTTTGAACTCAAATGTATTAATACAAGTCTAGTTTTTAGAGGCAACACAGAGAGGTGAAAACAGTCTGTGGGGAATGTACAGCTTGAATATGTATCATGGCAGTACATCCAAGTCCTTAAGACATATAGTTAATCAACACAGTGAGGATACATTTGCTTGGTGTAAATATGGGCAAAAAGCAGACAAGACCTGGGCCTCAAATCTCTACTAAGGTCTTTGGTGCTAGCAGTGCAATATGTTGTACTTGTTATCAAAGAAAAGATTGCACTGTTAAGCTTTTAATAAAATGAAAAGACTGAGGGATGTGCTGACAGATGCCAATCTTAGACATGACACAGCTGCTGAATGCAATATGGAAAAAGAGAATCCTAAAGTATTCCTACATGCTTCAGGAGAAGGCAAGTGGACTTCTTTTTTGTCCAATTTGGCGTCTGACCAGGAATCTACCCAGGCATAGTCTTAAAATGTGTTTGTTTTTGTTTTTTTTGTTGTGTTTTACTTTGTTAAAGTGCTTCTTTATTTTCTTTTTCCCAGCTGTAAGTCAATCCTCAATTGCTGTTAAGTGTTGCATTGTTGGGCTTTTTTTTCCACCAATGCCATACTTCATATCAAGTGATTTTGGAATGGATGCTGGCATCTTTCAAAATACATTTACAGCTAGATTATCTCAACCTGGAAAGGTTCTAATTTTACATCACCCCTGAAAACTTTAGACTTTGAGAGCTATAAATGCCAACGTGCAACACCACATGCTCATTGACCCAACTACCTCACAGACCTTCACATTACCTGACACTGAAGCAATAGCTAAATGTTTGCTCACGCTGCTAAGAAATGACCTTAGGTTCATATGCTGTCAGAGCCACAGTTACCCAACTGATTAGACGACTTGTGTAAATAATACAGTGGAGATGCTGATTAAACATATTTAGCTGTGTTCAGCATTGGCTGCAATGAGACAGAACTGAGGACAGACTGTACCTGCTCAAACCATTTCAGTTCACTGTTTCTTGCACTGTAATAACAACTGTTTTCCATCACAACTTTACAATATAATATGATTGTGATGTGATTGTTGAATGGGAGGAAAAAGTTATCTGATCAGAATACAAAGAGTGGTCTATATGAACAGTGTGCCACAGGTCCACAAAAAAAAAACTCCCGAAGTAAATAAAATGGTACACTTAAACCGAAGGTCGAGTATAAAATGATGTTCATGATTATTTTCACTTTTTTTGTCAAAATGAGTTGATCCTTAATCTCCAAGTTGCACTTGTCTTCACAAGTTACAAAAGAAGGCACCCTTCAAGGATCAAGGATCTCTTGTAGCATTTTTAAAGCCTTGCTTTAAAATGGCAACATTTAATTGGACCAAGGAAAGGTGCAAATTTGCAATGAAACTATAAAAGTTCAGTTAAATTAAGTATTTAGATTCTACATATATATGTGGACACTGTGCCTATAACAAAACATACTGGAAACAAAGCTAATAAGTTTCGAAATAGTTCAAATTGGCATCAGTTCTGCTCACAGTTTCCTGAGATCTATTAAAGGTTTTACTGCATTTTTGAACTGAATCCCAGCAGCAATTTTGAAAAACAAAATTATTAAACTACATATGACACTTAAATTAAGGGTTTACATTAATCTATTGAGATGATCAGGTCTGGCCTGATCTACATGTCACCAGTGTGAGTGTTTTACCTTAAAATCACAGTTTGTTAAAATCTGTGTTGAGTCTGCCATATGTTAAGGTTACTTAGTTTCCATCCACTCTTTGTTTTATGCCTCTGACATTTGGATGAAGAAATGTGACACTATGTATAAACTTATTTAGGTTCAAACACTTCTAGGCACTGAAATATATTCCAGTCTTTAAAACTGAAAAGTGTTTTTTTTTTCTTTACAACTTGCTCTTTACTCACTGAAAACCTAACAATAAATAAAAATTACTGTGAGTGGTATTTTTTGTTAAAGTAGAATTTTCCAACTCAAATGGTCTAATTTTTGGTATTTTTCTCACTAAAATATGTTGGACTGCCATGGCCATACTCGTAAAAATTTCTATTTCTTTGTGCCTATAATTTTCCTAGTGTAATCTTAATTTTGAATAGAATGCGTGTGCCTTTTTTTAATCTTTGTGTAAAATACACATGACACACCTTTCAACGACAAAACAAACTTATTTAAAAAATCTATTCCTTTGAGGGGAAAAAATATAAAATTACACATTTAGCATCTATATTGCTAAGAATGTAACTTTTTATGATGATTATTTCTTATTTTGTAGCTTGTAGTCATGTGTGGAAAAGTAACACAAGCGCTAGTATACATGCCTACACTGTTCATGTGTGTTTCTGTATTTCTTCTAACCCACCTGTCTACAACACACATACAAAAAAATCTATTAACTAAACCATGTCTTCCATATTCTGTCGTTTATGTACATCCACAGGATTCTACTATCATGTCAGGGACATCTGTTTTGACAATGCTGTGCTGGGAGTTGAAGTAGACCATGGAGAGTGGTCGGCGCTCAGTGGGAATGCAACATGAAGTTGTAGCTGTGTTAATGCCATTGACTTTGAGCTGGCTAAAGACAGTGGCATGGAAGGAGGATGCTATTCCTGGGGAGCCAGACAGATGTTGGGGGCACTGGCCCATGCAGTAGTTCATATGGTAGCCTTCAGGTGCAATGATCCACTCATCCCACTGGATATCTTTGAACTTGATGTAGAAGTCTCTCTTGCAGCACACTGTTACATCGGCACCACAACGCAACGAACGTTTTCTGAGTGAGCGTTTGGAGTGGTCTTCACGGAGACGGACCTGAGCCACCAGGAAGGGCTGGTTGGGGGTGTCACCCAAGGTGTCCAGGGAGCAAAGGTTCTTCCCATCTTCTTCACAGCTGACCTCAAGCCGTAGGCGCCGCTTTCCCCCATCCAGGAAGGACTGCAGGGTGCGGGTAATGGGGAAAGTGTGCCAATTACTCTCCTGGACCTCCAGCATCTTTTCTATCACCAGGGTGCGATTAGAGTCTGAGAGCCCATCATCTGCGGAGAGGAAGACACGGGCAAGGAGACGGGAGTCCCTGTGAGGGTCTTCAGAGGAGTGGGCGTAGATCCACAGAGATGACTGGAGGACCTGTATACTTTGGCCATGTTCCTGCAGAAACTGGAAGGTAAGGCTAAGGCTGGCCTTATCCCCATTATATGCCTCATCTGTGAAACAATGACAATGTAAAAACAACACACAGATTGTTAATGTCTTGAACATTTTAGAGACAGTTATAAAAGGGCAAATTCGTTTAAATCATGTTTTGCAAGTAAAGCTGCAGGGTGATGTAAAAAATAAAGGACAAGTTAGTCTTCTTCCACCAGTATTAGGCATTCTGTACTATCACTGCCATATATCTTATCTTTACTTTAAGCTTACAACAAACCAAATTAATTGGGCAAATTATATGATTTGTTGTTTTTAAAGTTAGAAAAAAGCCCACAATTGCAACTCCTGCTACAAAGGATTCAGTTTAGGTTCCTTAAAGCACTTCAAGGTGGATTTTGAGGTCTGTTTTGGATTATTGTTATTTTGTACAAGCCAGCCTCTTTTCAGTTTCAGTGTCTAGTTGACTTCAGCACATTTGCCAGCAGAAAAGCAGTCTTATCTGAATATCTGTATGTCTTCGAGATCTTGTCTTGCCTTCCACAGTTCCCTGTCTGGATATCATCTCAGACAGTGGAAACTGCAAGCCTCAGTCGGTTTAGAACCTTCTTCGCCTCAGTAGGCATCAGGTAGCTTTACTCTCAGATTATCAGTTGCTTATGGAGTGTTAGGTTACAGCTAATGACAATTCCCAAAGACAACTATTGATGTTATAAGACCTAATAAGTCAATTTAGGTTTCTGGAGTCAATGAAGTTCTGAGAATACACAAGTGGAACCCAAGCCTTAACTTTTGCACATGCCATAATTATTGTTTAATCTTTTTCTATTTTTTAAATTAAGTTTATGAAGTAAAGGTTTAGTTAATGGCGCAACAATATAAAGAGAAAGATTAATTTTATATCATTTGCTGTGTTGAATATATTTACCTTGTCTCACTTTAAAAAGGTGAGACAGAGGTGACCACACTTCAGTGTAAAACCGATTCCTGATACGGTGATTCTAACCTTTTCTTACATTTTATCCAGCAATTCAATAACCTAAAGAGGTTAACAAGTGTTAAGGAGACGCAGACTTAATGTGCGTATTTTACGCACAGACATGTATAAAGCCCACAGAAAATGTGACATTGTGGTGTTTCAGTGCCATACGAAAATCGCTTTACAATGTAAAAAGTGAATACCAAACTTACGTATATCTGCAAAGCTCACTATTTCATAGCCTTGATCTTTGGTTGGTATATTGTTTTCTAGTTCGAGGGTACCATCCTGTCTGACGCGCCCCGAGTGCAGTTTGCGAAGCGCAGTAAGGAGCGCCACACGAGGCACCGTTTGAGTGATGTTTGGTCTCTCTTTCAGGTGCAGCTTCTCCAAAAGTTGCTGCTTGGCGAACTCTATCATCAGCCTTTCCTCTGCGTCTTTGTCCATCGCCGACAAGCCACAGGACGCGCAGCCCGGGGAGCCACTGACCCAGAGACCCTTTAACAGCAAGGGTGCCAAAAAAAGAAACGCTGTGACTGAAAAGGACGACGCGATCCTTGATTCTGAAGTGAATAAATGCATTTTTGCACTCAGAGAGCGTGAACGACAAATAAAAAAAATCTTCAAATCCTCTTCCCTGAGTTGTTCTTTGGGAAATCACAAGTTTCCCAAATGTTGCGAGAGGTCCTTGGTAGCAGCTGGACACCGTGAGGACAGGAGCTGTGAAAACGGAGTGGTGTTTCAACCCTCCTGATGGTGAAGATATCTGTGGTAATCCACCAAAACGAGTGACACGTTGGAGGGATGCACCAATGAGCGCACCGGGACACCGTGGAAATTACTGGCAAAGCATCTGTCTGTCCTTCTCTCTCACAACACAGGAACTCACACAACACACACATAACGCACGCTCACGCGAACGGCACTGCTTCACAATCACTGCGGAAATCCATATAGACTCATTAATGCCAGTGACCATACATGATCTCACTTGTTGCTTTATATTTTACGTGCGTAAAGTGACTGCTTTTGATAAGATTTAAGATAAACTGAATACAGCCGCCGTACGTTTAATACAGCAGGCAGGTAGTTTCCGTGCCACGTTGCCCTCCTTAGGGCAAGTGAGCGGGATACGCAATCTGTCATCACTCCCGCCGATCAAAGTTGAAATTCAGTGCCCTTTATCCCACTTTCAAAATACGGAAGACTCATAGGCACCAAACAATTGAAATGTACTTAAAAACTGTGCAAAAGCGCTCGGGGCTGTGAGGTGGGGAGCCTTCACGCGGTATTTGAAACACGTTCGGTCATGTTTTCTGCAATGTGGTATAATGCCATCAGCAAAATGGTGTGTGTGTGTGTGTGTGTGTGTAAAGGAAAGAGTAATGGAAGAATAATCGTCATTCAGATGCCTACAGGCCCACAGCTTCTAGGTTCTCACGGTATTCTATTCATAAAATACATTTCGAAAAAACACAAAGTCATTTAAAAAAATTAACAACACAGAGCTGACTAAATATATATATAATCATTCACACAAAGCCAACATAATACAGGCGCAAATTCAAGAAAGCTGCTGTAACAAATCACTTCTGATAACCTGCACACTACTGGGGGCCAAAAAAGTTCAAAAGGAGTTCTTAATAGCCTCTGTCATCCCTTATAATTTAACAATACTGGATATGGAGTCCAGCGCTGCTGCTGCAGCAGCAGCAGCAGCAAAAAAAAAAAAAAAAAAGCTTTCAAAAGTTTTACACTCATGGGACACATTTTGAATATGTACCTGTATACACTCACACCAAAACGAGCAGTATGGACTATCAAATCGAGCCTGTGTCGACCAGTGGTGAGCTGCACACAGAGAACATGCATGTTTTTTTTTTTTTTTCCTCCCTGCTAGCCTCAGGGTTGAATATGAGATTGCGCTTCAAGGCCTGCCATGGCACAGGAGTACATTCCTGCCCACATGTGGGAGGTTGTGGGAACTACAGCTCTGATGTGCTGGTGCCTGTGAATAATGTGACAAATCCAAGAGTATAAGTTAAAAGTAAATGAAGATTTTTTTTTTCTTTACTCATGAATATGAGCTATTTTATAAGGCAAGCTGAAGAATGAAGTTAGAACTCATTCAGTGTTAAACTGTCACTGAGATTATAAATGGTGTAGCCTACATTTTAGATATTTTTCTTGATCGCTTATTCCTGATACGTGCAGAAAAAAACGTGCCTTTCAAAAAAATGCTGCAGTGAGTTCAACATTTCACAATGACAGTAACCCGGTGATGATAATAATAATAATAACAACAACAACAACAACAACAATAATAATGATAATAATAATAATCATCATCATAACAATAATAATAACAATAATAATAACAATAATAATAATAAAAACACTTAAGTAATATGTTTTCATGGAGAAGAAACACATCGGGATCGTTTTTACATTTTGCAGCAGGTAAGGTTTGATTGTACATTAACAACTTCACTGTATCCTGAACGTCTCCCTGCGACTGTGAAGTACGCCGGTGACGTAAACTGTCGGTGAGGGGAAAAAAGTGACGCTGACACACACACACACAAGCCGGAGCCGAGAAGAGGGAATTGCGTTTTGTTTCTTTTTCTTTAATTTGTGTCCTTTTATTCTTTGGTGTTTTGTTGTTGTTTAGCGGTATTCCAGTGACGGATCCGACTGCCTCGTTCTTCAGCGCTTTGCTATCTATCATTAGCGTTCATGCTGCTCTCCCCTCACGCGGCGCTATTTTGACAGTCGGGGTCGCAGTGAACCAACTCAAGCTAGCAGCACCATTATATTAGCATTGGTAAGTCATTCGGAAGGCTAGCAAATCGTACCAGCTAGCACCTCCTATTTTGAGACCCGACAGTGCTGGTAGAGCTTTATAACAAGGTTTGCCCTGATATAAACATGTGATACTATGTTGACTAGCCAGTTGTAATACAAGCCTTTGGTTTTGTGAACGCTGGGCAGCTAGCGTTCACTGAAAAGAAAAGGCTAGCTAGCAGGCTAACATTAGCTAGGTGGCTAGGTGCTGTAGGTGGCTAATTATACTCGCTGGAGGAAGCAAGCTAATACCGTGAGCTAGCTATTGTTAGCGTGTGGGCAAGCTAATATTCTCAGTGAACTGCACAGCCACGACTCTGACCATACTGCCATCTGTTCTTTACAGACACAACTTGAAGGATTCTCCACACGGACTCAAGACATACGACCAGCAAAACTGTAAGCTGACCTGCAAAGATGACTTGAGACAACTTAGAATCGATGATCCACTATCTTTAGTCAGATATGTAACGTAACGTTAAGCACCATCTTTAAAGTCCGCGTTCTCCATGCCAGACACGAGATTGCCATGTTAACATTTTATGCTTCTTATCGTAACAGAGAGACATGACTGAAACTCTGTGACTGTATGTGTGACTTAAGTGATGGGAATTAAGTGATTATTTGAACGAATTGCAATGAAGGTATTGGGAATCGTTTGTAGTTCTGCGTTGCAGCCATGCTAAAAGCAAGCACTGGATGGTGACAACAAGGTGTAATTTATGCCATTACACCCTGGCGTGTATGTTTTCGTGCATTCACTGATTGTTTGAAACCACAGCAAACAAGGCATAATAACAAATTCATCTGAGGTTGTAAATTCATAGTTTGTATGGATAATTACGTGGCAATTTCACTGAGAAGCTGAATCCAAGTTCGCTGATTGAGAAAGTAGTCCACACACAGTTATAATGCATGGCTAGGTGGTGTTGTTTGCATTATGGATTAGAAGTTTATGTTGTGTTTAACATACTGCTGAGTTTGTTTTGCCACATTCCAAACTGAGTTAATGTCAGTCAACCTAGGCCTTTGCTCAGTGAGGCATAATTCTTCATTACTTCATTGCGATTAATTAGAATTTGTTCCAGACAGTTAGTATAGTACTGCTGAGGAGGATTCAGAAAAGAAATGGGGTTTGTCAAGAGATATTTGACAAATGGCCATTACACTCTGTGTCTTGGCTTTAGCTCTACTTTTTGACACTCATTCCGAAAATAGATAGCAAGACTGTTGTGACAAGCTAGTTGGGATCACAGCACAGACTGTCAGAGCTGTGATTCAAACATCTGCTCTGGGAAAATGGCATGTGTGTCTGAAAACAAAAAATTCACATCGGTTGGTATTGGCCAGTCATGTGCTATTAGGAATTGGAAAGTGGCAGGCAGGGACTGCCAACATAGTCGTGTTTTATGTTGAGATTGTCATGAAAATATTCCAATTAGTTCCTTCCTTTATAGACTTAATAACTTAAAGCGCTATGAGATGACTGTTGTTGTAAATATGCGCTATACAAATAAAATTGAATTGAATTGAATTAAAGTAAACAACAACTTAAGGAGATATCCCTATAGAACAAGTTCAGTTTTTATGGTTTAAAGGATGGGTAGACTGAGTGCTTTTTTTGTGCATCAGGTGGGTCCTCAATGCAGCTATTTCCTCTAATTTTGTGCATTTGGAAACGTATCTTTCCTTAGAAACACTCAGTCCAGTTGCTGGTGTAAGTATAGTATCATTGAGAAAAGGTTTATCCATAGCAAGATCTGGTGGAGGTGAGTCACTGAATCAACAGTCTACTGTTGCTAAGGCCACCAAAGAGAAAGATGGAGGATCTTGCCTCCTTGTCAAAGTATTTCCCCCCTTGTGCCATGCAGGTTGCAGATCTTAATGCATTGTAAGACATTCTGCATTACTTAGTTATGCTGGTTTTTAATAGCGAGAAACTCTTTGTTTGTTAGGTGTAACAATTTCTGACCTGCTTATGTTGCCTTACAAGATGCATGACTACAACCAAATCTTTTTTTTTTTGTACACCAGTAAAACATGCGATTTTGTGTGTTGGAGGTAACCTACTTGCTTTTACTGCATTCACTTTGTACAATCAAATATTTACAAAAGCTGAAGTGGTTAATGTGAAAGTGTCTTTAGTACTGTGTTTCATGTTAAAACAGGCAGCTATTATTCTGTAAGATATGATATCTGTTTATTTGTCAGCCGGGTATCCATATCTACTTCTGTCTCTGAATCTCTGTTTGCAGCAGCATAAGTAGAAGAGTGGCTTTTTCTAGAGAGATTTGAAGAGCTATTTATAGATCTCTGCCAGAGCACCAAGCGTGGTGCTGTTGCTGCTGCTTCTATCTGTCTCTTCTCTTAACCACTCCTGCTTCTGTTTCTCTCTCTCTCTCTCTCTCTCTCTCTCTCCATCTTTATATGTACCCCCTTCTTTTCCTGTTCTCTTTGTTTTCTGAGCTAATTTTCTTTTGATGTCTTCCCCTTTTGTGTCAATCTTCTTTTTCAGTATCTATTCTTCATTGCTAGCTTTCATGTAAATTATTAATTGAAGCAAATGGGAGGTGACGAGTTGTGTGGCCATACGTCTGTCCTCAGATTGGGTACATGGGCCTGCCTGAACCAGTGTCATTGTTGCAAAGTTCTGAAATGTTATTTTTTTGCAGGTAAATTGAATGAGTATCCATTGGCTTGGCTTGGTGTATGTGCAGCTCTATTTTATTAAAAGATTTGGTTCATAAGGGGCATCACTTAATCCATGCAGTTAGGAAGAAGCTGGTAATGCTCATTGAAAGTTGTTTTTGGTAACGTCTATTTTGGCCTGTTTGTATATTTGCACTGTAACCAATAACAATTTTCCTGGTGTTTCTTGATAGATTTTCTTCAGCTCTATGCTGCATACAGAAACTGCAAAACCTTGTTAGGTGATCGTGTTAACAGTCTATCTGTGGTATCTTTGGCTACTGACCCTTGTTGAGCTCCTCCGCTTTCTCCTTCCTTCTTTCTAAGCCAGTCTCTTACTGTCCTGTACAAGAAGCTACCTGGCTGCTCAATGTGCAGAAGAAGTGGCTGGACTTGTTTTGAGGCATTAGGTGGCATTAGTACATGCCATCCCCTTTATCCCAGTCATGTGGTCAACCTGAGACAGACCTTTTTTCAAGGCCATGCTAAGGATTGCAGAGTCATTGGTTGGTTTCTTGTCTTAAGTAGCTAAGTAAGGTTAGAAAGCCAGTCCTATGCTCAAAATCTGTCTGTCTATTTTCTCTGCTGGCATATTTTGTTCAGGGTCCACAAATCTTAGCTTTGGTGAGGTGACCCTGCTAACCACTGAGCCACAAAGCTGTCTTTATATTGATTGTGTGTAAGTTGAAGTGAAATTCAATATATATTCAAAAACACAATAAACATAGACTATTGATGTGAGCTTGGGATGATATGTAAGCAAGAATAACTTTGTAGAAGGAGATGTGCAGAAGTAGAGCATTGCCTTGTTTATCTTAAAGAGTCAAATCTAAGATTTACTACATGTTATATGAATGACAAATGGCCATTGTTGAAAAACTCAAAGCACCCAAGCTGCTTTTATTGGGATGTAGGCCTGTTTTCTGTCTCAGATTGTAGTACTTTAAAGCAGTGCAGTCCCCTTGAAAATAAGCATTGAAAAGTTGCTGGGCTATCTTGTATTTGTATTAGACCCATTAGCACCTGAAAACAGTCTTTTGAGAAAGCAAGTTTGAGTAGGACTAAAGTGTTACATGAACTGGAAAACTGGTTAAAGCATTTTCTGCATTTTACCAGGATAATTCAGCCACCAACACTAATACCTGAGATACTATGGATTTAAAATGATGAATAAACACAATACAGTAAAAGTGAGAAATGAATGAGACAGACTTGATGCAGCGTGGGAAATCTGAAAAATCCAGCAATGACCAGCCAGGGTTGCCAAATGGGCAACCAATACGTTTCACAATTAGGGCTAAATTTCAAGTTTTACAACTGTACAAAGAAGGAAATTGTCTAGAAATGCACTTGAGGCACCTAAGTCACTCTTGAAATGAGTTCTGTGTTAAGTTGATATTCACTATTACCTCTCCATTAATGATTATGTTCACAGTCTGTGCAACAAGACTGCAGCTGTATAGTCGTTTGAAAAAAGAAAGCATTAATGTACACTAGCCTTGACCGGTGTCAATGCTGGAAAATAGGACAGTGTTTTGTTCTGTTCCAGTGTGTCCCCCTTTTCAAGGCTCACCTTGAAAATAACAGGTCCAGCTGTTTTGATGCAGGCTGTGGATGGTGGACTTCACACACATACATCACACATATCACCACTGATTTGTTTACCTTGCAAAGATTTCCCACTAATTTTCCCACTGTGGACTGTTGACATTGTATATTGGTCAGCTTGATCATAGTCAAAGACTGGCCTGGGCACTGCTACTTAAATGTTATTTGAAACTGCAATGCTGCCTAAATTAGCCACACATTTACCTGTTAAATTTTTGCCCAATAAAGCCTGGACACATACTGTCAGCTCAGCAACTTAACCATCTATTAGACAGTCATTCCTGCTTTTCCTGCCCTTACGTAAAGTTCCCTGCTGACGTTTCCTTTGATGCTGAACTTTTGACTGCCTCTTTTCCGCTGCATCTTTCAGCTGCCGCTTGCAATTGGTGGCTGCAGGGAGAACATGCAAATATGTTGTCTTGTGGGATTATGGTTTTTCCTTGATAATGAGGTGGTTTCGATATTCCTCACCACTGTCTTCCCTTCAGAATCCCCTCTTTATAATACTTTATTTTGACCATAGCAGCAGTGCTCTGTTTCACCAGCAGCTGTCAGTACTTTTAAGCTCATTTTGTTTGTCAAGACACAGGCTACAGAAAATGACTTCAGACATTTCCATAAAATGGAGAGTGACGAATGATGACTAGCATGTGGCTGGACTGTGTTCTCTGTCTGTCTACAGATGTAAGTAATGTTGTTTTTGCAAAAAAGTACCAAACCTAAAATTGTAGCTCTGAAAGAATGCATCTATTTATTGTAAGCTCTCTTTATAGAGTCCTGCTGTTGTATCAAGTGACATACTCGCTGATCCAAGCAGCCCTTTTAAACAGCTGGGCTTCTTGCGCGCCCTGGTTTGGCTGTCATTGCAATTATATTGTTTCACAGAGGCAGAGAGCAAACAAGATATGTAAGAGGGAGAGAGCGAGAATCCACACGAAAGGGAGGGTTGGAGGTAGAAGGGAGCGGTGAAAACTGTGCGCATGATAGCATAAGAGTGGTAGAGACAGAGGGAGCCAGCTAGCAAGCAAGGTTTTCGGTTTCTCTGTTGTGCCTGTGCTTCATTCAGAAAAAGAAAGGGGGCAGTCAAAATAGAGTTTTCAGAC